AGCACATACTATCCCTAATCTCAACTGCAGCGCTGCCGTGCCGCTCTGGGAAACGGCTGGCAAGATCAGGCCATGTTTCAGCAGCAGAGAGCTGTCTGAGCTGGTGACCATGAGCACTTTGAAGCAGTGACTTGCCAGAGTCCCCTGGTCAAGACACCTTCCTGAAGCCTCTTTTTCTGTGTGCACGCACTTAGTTTCATTTCTGGAGTGGAGAGATCGCACTCCAGCACTACTGCATTTGTCCAATGTTTAGGCATTGGAGAAGCACCCACTTAGCATCCATGTGGAGCACAGTCTGTCAGGGAGAGTCCGTTGGTCCTTCCAGCCGGCACAGGGAGCCAGTGGTGCCAGGCTTCCCGGGGAGGAGTTGGGCTGAGCAGACAACTCTGCCAGAAGTAAGGATGGAGCCAAAACTCCTTTGCTGTTGCTTAATACGGCTGTGTTCCCTCTGCCTGCCCCCCCTTCCCCCCCCCCGCCCTGGGCCAGGATCTGGACTTCTCATTTTGAAACGGAGAACAGCAGGCAAATCTCGGCACATTTGCACAGTGCTTTCTGCTCCTTGAAACACCGGGGTCTGCACCCACTGGCCCAAATCCCCCCCCAGCTCCCTGCGCCTGCTATTTCCAGCCTCCCAGGGGGCTGGCTGTGCAAAGCCCTTCTCATGTCACTGTTCACTGATGGGATTTTGGAGGGCATGTCCTGCTCCTGGTGCTCTGGAAGAAGCAGACCTTAGCTGTGAGCAAAGACCTGGGCCTGCAGAGCTCTCCAAGCACCGGTCTGCAGGTGGATCGCCTGTGCTGCAGCTCTGGCCCTGCTCCTGCACCGGGAGCCCTCCCTGCCCAGCAGGCAGGAGGTCTGGCAGCAAGGCAGACCCCTGTCTGGGGTGCAAAGAGATGCCCTGAGCCACAGACAGGGCTGTGCCAATTGCACGGGTCGCTCATGGCCTCTTTCTGGCTGTGGCTGGTGCTAAATGAATGAATCCCTTTGAGCGAGGAGTGGGAAGCGTCTCCAAAATACAAAGGGCCGGTTGGGGCAGAGGGGCGAGGCGGCTGCTTCAGGGCAGGGGAAGGGCAGGCAGAGAGGCTTGTTCCGCAAATGATTAAACCTCTTACTCACCAGACAAAATTGCAGTTGGTGATCTACCGATGCCAACTTCAACTGTCCCCTGTGCCGGGCTGCGGCTGTCCTTAGCCCCGCCGGCGAGGCAGAGAGGGAGAAAAAACCCTTTGGGGCTGAGTGGTGGCTGGGGGTGGAGGGCCGGAGGAGCTCTGGGGTTCCCTGCTTTGCCCACCCTTTACTCTCTGCAGCTCCCACCTGATGGGGAAGGCGGTCCGCAGGGGCTGGCCTGGGGAGGAGGGCAGGCAGCCAGCGCTGCTGGCATGAGCTGCTGGGAGCCCAGCCCAGTCCTCCCCTTCCCCAGAGAAGTCTCTTTGTTTCCTCTGATCGTCATCAAGAGCTTTTGCACAGGTTCCTGGGGCTTCCCGCTGAGGAGGTATGTATTGGCCTTCTGGAAGGGGATGCTGCTCCCCGGCTGCCTCTACCCCTGGCATCACTTGCTCTCCGTAGCTGGCTGTCCCAAACCGAAGCGTGCGCAGAGGTTTACAAATTTTCTAAAGCTTTTGATAATGTGAAGCTCCTGGGTGATGAGGTTGGTGGTGAGCACACTGCAGCTATGTAATTTTTTGTGTATGTATGTAATATTTAAGGGTAAGAAAATTTAAAAGGCTAAAACCTTGAAAAAAAAATTAAAAACACACAAAAAAAGCCAAAGCATGATGCATATTGTTAGCCTTAAAACTGGCTACATGACTGTGTGATGTACAAATGAGAGCAGCCTGTAACTGTTTTAAGTGCTGGGGTTGGGGAAGAAGCATTACAAAATCAGTTTGTAGCCTTGATTCTGTACAGTATTTAATGAAAAAAAAAAAAAGACCTGACTATTGAGGCCATGCTTAGAGGTGTGTTGTTCACGTGCAGATGTGGATGCTTGGTTGCTTACGATATATGTATAAAGTGCTGTGTGACCATTAAAACTTTTTTTACCTGCAGAATTTTTTTTTTTGTTTGGCTAACCAAGGTGTAATAAAGGAGGGAAGATGACTTGCCATTAAATTTTGCCTCTGTGAGTAGTTCTGACTGTTGTCTCTTTCTTTCCCCCTCCTGCCATGCTTGGCGCTTGCCCCGTCTCCGGCGTGCGTCCCCGCACCAGGGGCAGGGCTGGACAGGGTCCCGCTGGCTGAAGTTGATGGAGCGGAGAGGGCAGTGAGGCTGGAGGGAGCCTGGCAGCGAGGGGCTGCCCCCGTGGCTCTGTATAAGCTACCTCCCCAAGACCCTAATTCACAGGACATCTGTCAGGCTTGGATTTTATTTTTATTTCTATTTTCCGTGCTCTTTGCTGGCGTGTGGTGCATGCAAGCTGCCCGGTGGCTTGGCGTGTGCCACAGCATGGCTGTGGTGGTTTAACTGGCTGCTGCCCCGGCGGATGGGGCCAGACCTGGGGCAAAGCAAACCCCTCTGCAGATCCCACAGCCCGGCAGCGGGACAGCCCGTGGGCCCTGGCAGCTCTGCCCTGGTGCTGCCTCCCAGCCCCTCACCTTGGCGCACAGGTAAGTGTGTGGAGAGATGCAAATGCAGCCACATCAGGGCTGCTGGGGCCAAGGGACCCCTGCACCTCCTGGGTGCTGATGGCATGGTTAACCCTCGCTGCTGTCTGCCCCCACGGCTGCCCTCCCCAGCCCCCCTCTGCCTGCCAGGAGAGGCTCGGAGGGTGCCGGTGCAGGCAGAGGCGGGCAGTGATGTTAGTGGTTGGAGACTTGCGTTTTTGCTGGAGTTGTTCAAAACCAGCAAGCGTCTGCCTTTTGAGGGGTGCTGCCACCTCCCTCGGGTGTCAGGAGTGAGGGGCTGCCCGGGAGGAGCTGTCGGGGGCTCCCCTGGAAGAACCAATGGCTGCTGGCTGAGGGGTGTTGGAAGCAGTTGGGTCAAGGAAGAGATTTCTACAGCAAAACCTGGGAAAGGGAGGTAGAGGGAGATCCCAAACACCCTGCTGCTGTGAGCAATATGACTGTCCCTGGGAGAGGCCCGGAGGAGGCTCCGGGGAGACTTTTGGGTGCTGCGAACTTGAACAGCTCGCTCGGGTGAGCGTCTGGCTTGATGGAGGCAGCCAAGGGCTGTGAGCGCATCCCCTGCCCTGGGCTCTCCCCGCAGCCTCCAGCAGCAGCCGCCGTTCGGCATGGTTAGAGTTCAGTGAAGCATCCCTGAGCCCATTTTTACACCTGGCCCCATGCCCCGGGGGAAATAACTTTATTTTGGGAGGTGTTTCCCAGCTGCTGCCTGCCTTGCTGGCCTGAGAACATGAAACCCCGGGAAAGCAGGGGGGGGGGGGGGGAGGGAGGGAACAATTGTGCTCTTCGCTCCCAGCTCTGCAATCCTAATTGCATAGTTTGCAGATGGATAAATGCCAACAGCCGCCGCTGTTTACTCTTCTACTTTGTACTTGAGCACTGTAAATGAGGTTTAATTACTGCAATTTTATACCAAGCAGGCAGAGTAATGCCCCCGCCAGGAAAGCCCCTGGGCAGGGACCTGTTGCAGGGCTCCAGCTGGCCCTGGGCTGCCCAGGAAAGGGGTTGCCTGAGTTCCCCATTCCCTAAGGAAGGCCAAACCCCTTGGCTCCAACAACCCCCTCCCTGAACCTCTTCCATGATCCCTCCCTCGCTCCAAGGCACTGAACCTTCCCCAAGATGTCCCAAGCTATCGCTGCGGGGCTGAGCTCGCTGGATTCAATCAGCCCCAGTGCGATGGTGGGCAAGGAGGCCCTGTGACAGCCATGCCCCGTGTCCTGCCTCCGAGGCGCATCTCCTGGGGCCATCGCTCCGTGCGGGTCCTGGCCCTGCGGGGATGGTGGGCTGGCAGGATGCTGGGGAGTGAAGGGCCGCGGTGCTGAGCTGAACCCATCTTGACAGTGCCTGGCCAGGGCGACAGCACCACAGCCCTGCCCCTGACGGCAGCCGTGAGCTCGGATTTAAAACCCAGGGGGGACTTTTTTGCAAACGCTAGATATTTATTGCATTTCTCACAAGAATAAACTCTGCTTCTACAGGAAGCTTTGGGTAGAAACATTCTTAAAAAAAGTCGATTTCTTCTGTTAAGATATATTGGTCCTGACTATCCCTGGGGGGTGGCACTGGCTCTGCAGCGGGGACGCGAGCTGTGCCACCATGTGCGTCCGAGCCGGGGAGGGGACGGGGCTGTGCCGGCGCAGCCGCCTGGTGCCAGGACCTCGTACCGGGATAAAACATGCTGGCATCTTGCCGGCACTGAGTACCTGCTGGGGCTCGTGGCTCATTTTTGGGACAGCGCTGGTGGCTGTCCCTAGGGGGGTAAAGCTAAGCATGGGGGCAAGCGAGGGGATGAGTGCCTGCAGCCCCCAAGAGCTATTGCTATGAGGAGGAGGAGGTTCCTGAGTGGGAGGAAGACTCTGCTGCCCTCGGGCCGGGCCGGGCCGGCGGCTCAGCGCTGCGGGGGGCTGAACCCAGCTGCTCAG